AAAAAAAAAAAAAAAAAAAAAAAAAAAAAAAAAAAATATATATATATATATATATATATATATATATATATATATATATATATTTGAAAAATAAGGAATTTTTATCAAAATGAATATTTATTTTAAATTTTTCTGATTATATTACATTATATAAAGTTATAATTTTCTATTAGCTAACTGTTGTCAATCATTATGTTAATTGGCTAATTTTGTAGGATATATGTCTTCTATGAAAGATACCTAAAAGCACCTATCTTAAAAATTAAAAAAAATTAAATCATAATTACTTTAATAGATTTAGATTACAGATAAATTAGTTTGAGTTTTAAAACTTATCATATAGTTTAAAAGTATATCTTGTAATATAAAAATATACAAAATTTCTTTTGTAAATTTTTAATTAGACTATTAATAAAAATAAAAACATAGCTTTATTTTAGTTTTGCTTAAAAAAAAAAAAAAAAAGTTGTAAAACTATATTTTTTAATTCTAATAAATAGATTCCAAGATATTAGTATTTTTATTTTTTTTACTATATGATTTTTACTATTGCAAAAATCTTTTAGGATTCTACTTACTATATAAAGTAATTAGTAATGCTACCGATTTTTACTATAAAATTTATACTCTTTAACTGCGAATTACCTCTTAATCTATTTTCATCAAAAATGATACATAAACCTTAACGATCTCGTGACACCGTGATCAGATTTTCACAATTTTAGGCTTGTTGGAATCGTCTCTTCAAGGCGGCCAGTTTGGCGGTAAAATCATTAAAAACGAACTAGTCTATCAAAAGTTATCCACTATTTTATAATAATTTTTAAAATAGCTTATTTTGGTTAAATAGTGTTATCTGCGAACTAGTGATCAGAATTGCATGATTCTGATATAATTCGATTCGTCTTGATGCGACAAATCGAATGGCACCAAAATTATGTGATTCTGATTAATAGTTCGCGAGATATTGTTAATGCGCCAAATTAGGTACTGAATTTTTTAATCAACAATATCTCGTGATCTAGTGATCAAAATTGGACGATTTTGTGTATCATTCGATTTATCTCATCGAGACGAATCGAATAGTACCAAAATCAGATCGATTTATCACATGCTATAAGTTGTAATACTTAACTGCGCCAAATTAGGCATACCTACTAATATTTTAAAGCAAATCCGCATAAATATATTTATTAAGCAGACAGATTTTTGGGGCTATCGCAGCAGAAAATGAAGGATACTAATCAGGATTAATAGAGTCAACTTTGGTTTGATTACAGTAGTAAGAGGATGTATGCACTTATAAAGAAAATTACGTAATAAACGGCACCCCTCTCGAAAATCAGGTTTGAATTACGTGAACGGTTATGGCGAATCGGTTTCGGGTTAGACTGTATATGGAATTATAAATGGTGCAAGTGCAAAAATCTTTCAAATGTTTCACTTTAATCTACAATGTTTTCGTCTTTATATAGATCTTACCTAAGCGCATGTTAATACTGTATATACTTTTTTTTCGAGCTATTAAAAACTGATAGCTTTTCACTCGCTTTTAAACACAGCCAAACCACCATAATGCCTATTTACTGTACAGTATTTGAATAATTTGAATCATTTATAATGACTCCTTTTACAATCTCGTTTATTAATGGCATTAGAAATAAGATGAGAAGCTTCACTACTTTGGTCTGCATGAGGCTTAAAAAAAGAATTTTTGTCAACCCGCTTCAGTCTGTAAAATGATCTTCGATCTATATAGCCCATTTTTGACTATTTTTTAGCCTACTTATTGGCAAATACTGTACTGTATTCTAGAATTGGTCCGATTGTAAAGACCTACTTGTGGTAATTTAAGATAGCAGCCATGGTCTATTGTCAGTGAATCTGAAGGTATTCAAAAGTCAATATCTTCTCATTAACTGAGTGCAGAAGAAAACTTTTTTTTTTAGACTGATCTACAATCAATTTATTAAATAAACTTTAAATCAAGATTTACTGCATGTGAATTTTTTTATTTGTTCCAGTATACAAAATTAAAATAAAATAAAATAAAATATATAGAATAAAATAAAATAAATAAAAAATAAATTTTTTAAAATTGCGTAAACTAATAGAAGAAAACTTTGTTCCGTATAACAAAAGAATAATGGCGGAAAGAGTTTGTGAGTTTTAGTATTTATTATTAATAATTATAATCATTAAATTTTAAATATTAATATTAAAGCTTCATGTGTTTTAGTGCTTGAATATTTCAAAAAGTTAAAAGAATGGGTGAAAAATTTAGATGTAAAAAAATTAGATTTTTCACAATATAACAACCTCGAATTTATTGGATTAGGAGGGTGTGCAACTGTATACTCGGCTAGTTTTCAAGGGCAGAAATTTGCAATAAAAAGTATAAACAATAATATATGCTTGGACGATAAATCAAATAAAAAACTTGTTCGTGAGGTAAAAATTGCTATTACGTATTATACGACATGTCTGACGTAAGTACTGAATGATTTCATGCAACTACCTCATAAAATATATATAGTTATTTGGTATCTACCTCTTACGAAGTGAAAATTTGCATGAAGATCATTCAGTGCTTACGTCAGACATGTCGGATGGTTATAGTAGACGATAACGATTACTTCACAAGTAATGGAGCGAATAATCAGTTATAATCTACACATAACTATTATTTATCAGCGTTGAAGTTTTAGTTAACTAATTATAGTACATATAGCTTAAATTTCTTAGTAATCTTAATCACCCTAACGTAGTCAAGTTCTTTGGTATTTCAACAGGTATGGTAAAAATTCGAGAATAAATTATAAATTATATTAATTAATTAGAATAACCCATGAACTTTAGACCCAAAAACGGAAAATTTAATAATTATATTACAACTTGCTAATGGTGGTAACCTGCGAGATTATTTAAATAATAAACAAGAAGAAGGTCTTTATAAAATTTTATGGAATGAACTTATCCAAATAGCAACTGACATTACTCTTGGGTTAGAATACTTGCACGAAAATGACATCATTCATCGAGATCTAGTAGGTTTTGCCTTCTTAATTACCGTACAGCGCTGCATACAGTACCCCCTGGAAAAGTACCCCCTTTGAATAGTATCGGGGTACTATTCAATCGTAAATTTTGACATTTTTAAAAAGTATCCCGGTACTAATCAATCTTCAAAAAACTCATTTTTACTATATTCATACGT